CCAGACTCAGAACTGTGCCTTCGACCGTGACTGCATGGCGCAGGCTTCGTTTGCGCAAAATGGCACGTGCGTGGCTAACGATATGTGTACACCTAACTACGCTGCTGGTTGGGACGCTAAGTTTGTCCCTGGTACGTTGAATGGAAAGGGGACGGACGAATTCCACCAGGTGAATGCTGAAGCCCGGCTCTTCGTTGGCCAAATATTCTCAGCCGCGACCCTTAAGAACATCGAGCCCGACTCTGACTGGAGAGGCATTAAAATTGATAGGTGGACTCTCAAAGATATCGATTTTCGTGTGGAGAACTGTGATGGTTCCGAGCCTGGAAACTCGGCCGGAATCGATTGCGATTCCCCCCGTGGGACACTTAATCTTGGGTATTTTTCCTCTCCTACTCCCGCTACAGTTCGGGTACCGGTTTATGCCTCTCTGCCGCACTTCACGTTGATTCCTGGAACCTCTTCCCGTGATAACTATCATCCTGGTGAAAGGGTTTCCATCGTGTCTTGTACTGGTGACTCTGACTGTCAGGGGACGAGAGAATTCACAGTTGACATTTTTACAGAGCCGTTGACTGGCGTTCTACTTAATGGTCAGCAAAGACTGCAGCTGAACGTTGCCTTCCCCCCAACAGCTAATGGTCAGACCGGCAACATGACTGACGGGCTCCTCTTGCCGGCTTTTTGGTTGAATAAACACCAGACGGCTTTTGGATTCCAGATTGACGCTGTAAAGACTCTCCAGTCTGGCCCTACTCTTTTTAACATTCTCCTGGGTATCTTGCTCGCTGTGGGTATAGTACTACTTATCGCTGCTGTCATACTGGCATTACTTGGCTGGCGAAGGAGGAAGATACTTCGTGAGATGTCTTTAGGAGTAGGCGGTGTGAAGCCGAGCGTTGAAGTGAGCTAGAACTATAGAGCCTACTTATTATCGAGGCGTCAACTCTGCAGTAGGTTATCAGTCGCCAAGGTGAGTTTTCCATATAAAGGATCACATCGATGATGCATCTTTCTTGAGCGTACGTTATTAGTCTAAGTAGCTCTTGGTATCACACTTGACATCGTTGCGGAACAATGAATGGTCCATACTTTTTACACTAGTCTAGTATTCACCATTGGCCTTACCGGCCCGCCTTCTCTAGTTCTCTCAAGTGTCGTGTTCTATGATAGAATTGATTGGCTTCGTTTTCTGGTTTTCATAAGTCACATTCCCATGAAAAAGTGTTCGGAGCTGATGAGAATCATTCGAAGTTAAAACCGGTACGGGTATGTAGGCGATTTTGCGTTCGATGATACCTCCGAACGCAATACGGATAGAAGACCCGTACATACAGCGCTGGAGAGAGCTCGATGAGCGCTTTCGAATGGCACCTTTGTTCACGAACTGTCGCTTGCCGCGAAATTATCAGGAGCGGCCCCGTTTCTTGCACCACCCTGTATCTGCTGTAAATACTTGCCATAGCGGATTTAACGATGTTGAATTACACGAGAATCAGTCGTTGGGAGCCCTTCCCAAAGGGTCCATGGAGCATGTCAGAGTGTTCCAACACTCGGCCTTCTCTGCGGACTCCACACATTGTGAAATTCGCACTGTGAATATTTGGTAACGACAACTCGTGGGACATATGCAGCGTTCACTTTCTATCCGAATAGTGAGCTCATATCATGTGGTATGGGAGTCCGAAAAAGCTCCCAAGAAGAAAGCGGTTGGCCCAAACATGAAATATGAGACCTGCAACGTGAGCAACGTAACCTGCGCGGTTCAGTCCCCAAGTCCGTCATGTACTCGCGTGCGGTGATTGGTTATCGATCAGGGCGAGCGCAAGATTCAACGTGCGTTCTGCGTGCGAATCACCATCATTGACCCTCAAGACCCCACTTTTTTAGCATTATGTCTCTAATTCCTGCAGCCGCTGAATCCGCCGAGTTCTCCTCTGACGTGGCCGAGATCAAGCTATGGTGGAAGTCTGATCGTTGGGTTGGGAAGCGTCGCTTGTACTCGGCAGAGGATGTCGCCCGTCTTCGTGGCCAGAAAGCTGGTCGTACCAAGTACCCTGCTGATGCTATGAGCAAGAAGTTGTGGAAGGCCTTCAAGGAAGCTCAACGGACTGGTGGTTTCCTGCCTACGTTCGGTGCCTTGGATCCAGTCCAAGTGACACAGATGGCGAAGTACCTCAAGACTATCTACGTCTCGGGTTGGCAGAGTTCTTCGACGGCCTCTACTTCTAACGAACCCGGCCCGGATTTCGCTGACTATCCCTACAATACGGTTCCGAACAAGGTAGATCAGCTCTTCCGTGCGCAAGTGTTCCATGACCAGAAGCAGCACCAAGAGAGATTTGGTATGACCGAGACTGAACGTCAGGCTAATCCAGCCGTCGACCATTTCGCTCCGATCATTGCCGATGGTGATACCGGTCATGGTGGCTTGACTGCTGTCATGAAGCTTATGAAAATGATGGTAGAGCGCGGTGCAGCTGGTGTCCATCTCGAGGACCAGAAGCCTGGCACCAAGAAATGTGGCCACATGGGTGGCAAAGTGCTCGTGTCTACGCGAGAGCACATTGACCGTCTCGTGGCTGCTCGGTTGATGACCGATGTGCTTGGCGT